AGCGGACTGGAAAAGACAAAACAGAAGAGATGTCTTCTCGCCTCGTCGGTGAGAGACCTTAGTTTTCTGAAACATATCAGTTTCAAGTGCAATTTAAAGCCCCGATTCCATAGTTCAGGACTGCAATTTACCCTGCTTTCGGTGACGATGCATTACCACCTAACCTCGGAAAATTTCTGACCAACACGCATCCAGTGCCGCCTTGAAGTTGTGCACATTGGTGCAGTTGACCACTACCCCGGGTAACCTGTTCCACATTGGTATGATCCCATGAGCGAAGAAATTGGGCCGGATCTCCAACCTAGCATGGTTCTGTTGGGGCTTAAAGCTATGACCTCTCGTGTTTTGAGCACGGGAAGCCGTAAACAAGTCATCTGCATGGAGTCCTGATAACTCTCTGACTATCTCAAAGGTCTCTATCAGGTCTCCTCCCAGTCGTCTACGTTCCAGCGAAAAGAGATTTAGGTCCCTCAACCGCTGTTCATAGCTCTTTCCCTTTTGCCCAGCTACCATTCGGGTAGCAAGTCGCTGCACCTTCTCTAGGCATGCTATATCCTTTCTATAGTATGGTGCCCATGCCTGAACACAATATTCTAAGTGGGGGCGAACCACTGCCTTGTAGATGGGTATAAAAACCTCTGCGTTTCTACATGTAAGGGCAGCACACAGCCTGAAGAGTTCACCACGAGGCTTTTTAGCTGCCTTCAGACATTGAGTTTCAGGCTTGAAACTCTTCGTGAGAGTGACTCCTAAGTCCTTAACGGTATCCGTGTGCTGCAGTGCCAGCTGCCCGTCCCCAACGGTATCTGCTCTCGCAGTTAGGAGCTGACACTTTTCTAGATTTAATGGTAAATCCCACTGAAGCGACCATTGTCTAACCGCTTCTACATCACCCTCTAGGTTTGTTCCTGCTAACTTCACATCATCCGCGAACATGAAACACGGATTTTGGAGATCCCGTGTCAAGTCGTTGATGTACATCTATCACTGGTAACACTGGTAACCCGAATGTGCCCCAGCTAGAACCGGCCTAAAACCAGTTCTAACCAGTTAGGATCCTGTTCAAAACCGGTTTGCGGCTACTCTACTAAAACCAGTCGTCCAATGAGATGAAGGATGGTTACCATGACAACGGAACAGCCAATCAAATCACAGCGAACGGTTGCTTTTGACCAATAAGAATAAAGGGACGTAGTCTATCACAACCCTCAAACAGAACTATATAAACCCTGTCCCACTGAGGATTCGCGCCTCCTCAAAGTTGCACTGATGAAGTTGCCCAGCTTGGCTACGAAACTTCTGCGAACTACACTTCCAGCTCGGAGAACTCACCAACATGCGCATCCACATCATTTCAAATCCTGAAAGAAATTAAACAAAGTATGCCAGTTAATCTTTCTCTAGAGATGCTAATATCTTCAGATCTGATGAAATCCGCTTAGGTTTATTGATGTATTCAAGGCACCAAAATCAATGATACCAAAAGAATTGTCCGGATAAACGGAAATAATAAAAATAATAAACTGATGTAATCAACGACAGAGACCAGTAACACGTACTGATCTACTACAATCTGAATAATTACATCATTTTAGCACGACTCAACTAGTCCAAGATTTTTCGTTATGCCAATGAGTACTCACAAAACCCCGGTGACTCATTCAAACCAAAAGAACCGAAATTAAATTCGTCTAGACCAAATAATGATCGTAAACTCACGAGAGTCTTTGTTCAATGGAATCTGCAAATATATACCTTTCAGATCGACTTCGGAGAATAGATTACGTTGATCCTGAACCGCGGTACAGCACACATTTCGGCACTTTTATGGAGAATGGGCATTGAAGAAGAAGTATCTGATCCAAAGTCAAACTACAATGACCACATATTCTTGGTCCTCCAGAATGAGATCTAACGGTGTCATCACTGGTGTTGCCCACCTGGGTGATTCGACAGACGTATCTCTGTCACATATGGACTGCAAGGCAAGGTGAACAGGTTCATGTAATCGAAAGGGAACTAAACATCGCTTGGGAAATATCGGATCACTGGATACCTCGAGGTTAACGTCACGTATGCAAATGTAACCGCTTACTTGTATTACCTCGTACTTACAGAGTTTGGTATTTTAAGCGAATGTAACAATTTTTTCATTTTACTTTCTTTTTATAGAATATACGAAGAGGCAATTTTCAGGAAGGGGAAGCGGCCAATCAAAGGGCTGCCATTCAACACACAATGGGGAAGTTGGGCGACGGTGGTGGGATTTGAATACATCCCCGTGGTGATAATTTGGTGATATTACGACCGCCCAGATATCAGTATAGAGGATTTTTGATTGCAGTTACGCGTGCATATTATCATTCGATAAGAGAAATTTCATATACGTTACCCATATTTGGAAAATCTCAAGTACAAGGATGTGGATTGTTTAGTTAGTTTCTTGCATTCAGTTAAGCCGATCGGTTCTGATTGGGATCACAGGTACTCCACCTGCTGGTTGACTGGATAGAAGGTGTATCATTGTGGGTACCTACTCTTTGTACGATCGCAACTGCAATGCATGTTCAACGTCTCCTGATTGAGTGTTCTTACATCAGTCGAGATACATTCATTTCAGCTTTGTTTACGTAGTACCGGGACACAGCTTTGATGTTTGATATATTTTCCCGTCCGTGTAGTCTTATTGATCTAACTGTCTCTTGAGGAGCATAGCTAGCTTCGTCCATCAAAGCTAAAGTACTACAGGTCACCAATAGAGAGTGATTTACCGATGTTAGGTGATTATGGATCGAGGTTAAAGAATGTCTAGTTTTATTTAAAACTTGATGGAACAAAGAATACTAGGTACAATCCATATATATATATAAGTTTTGTTCGATTCCTAATGCTTTGCAATATTATTCTTGACTAAGTCCATTTTTGCTCTTTTAGCAGTCTTTGTGATGCCATTTTTTACGGTTTCATGTCCACGGGAATATATTACACCGGCTGTTGTGTTATCTCCAGTTGAGAGTGATCCTTAAGCCATTCTCAGAAAAAGACATTGAACCGGTACAATCCTTGGACGAGGTAAAATACCACTTATATAAATCTTTAGGTGATTTATTAAGGCTGAGCACCGTTATGTGCAAACACAAATCTCAGCAATTGCGGTCTATTGAGATATGAGACGCTTACAGAAATACTCATTTGGAAGAAAATTTGACTATTGTGACGGATCAGGATTGTGATCCGTGTCAGCATGTGCATGTAGAGTTCTGTGTCCCATTTCTTGAATAATTCAATACCTTGTTAATTATAGTGGCATCCTCCCGCCAGTAGGGGATAATATATCTCAAGACTTCCAGAACGGTTGAATTCATTCAAACTACCTTGCGCAAAACCTTCAGTATATAACGAGGTACGTTTCGCTGCCCAAATTTTGGATGACTTGTTTGGTTGATGACTTATAAACTTGGCTCGCCGTCATCCAAAATCCAATGGATTATCTGAAATCTTTGTTCGCATCCTTAAAACTATGTTATATGTTATCTTAATTCACACTTCATGAACTTGATTGTATCATTGATTATTTTCTCAGGCAATTCCGTAGTACAGCTATCGCGTTGGCATTTCAGCGTCTGTTACTCTAAAGGTGCCAAATTGAAGTACTGAATCTATACCTTTTCAACTTCAAGTGAATCCGTTGTAACTTCGACTGAATCGGTTTTATTCGAGAGAAACTCGGCCTCAATGGAATTTACTCATTGGGTTTTTATAGGCTTAAACTGACTCCAATCATACAAAGAATCATGATCACGCTGACGTCTGGGCATGGTGACCGACTTATCGGTGTGATTCGCTTCCTTACCGGACCGACAGAGGTCAGTTAACTCCGGGTTAGTTCATTCGTATCTATGACGCACACTCANAACGACCCACCTATTCCCCTCCCGAAAAATTCAACCTTGCTCGGTAACTCACTAAAAATGTACTTTTGATTGTTTACCGAGAAATTAGTTCATTCGAACCGGAGGGGGTTTAGACAGACCCGGTCCAATCGGTGACATGTGACGGCCAAAACACCAATCATCTTGTCGAGGTTTCCAATGGAGTGCGATTGGTTGGATTCACTTGAAGTTACAACGGATTCACTTGAAGTTGAAAAGGTATAGATTGTGCCAAATGTGATATAAATGAATCTGAATTAACCTAACCGATAGTTAACCGGCGACGCTGAAATGAGTTACATTTAAATAGTGTGGCCTTATTTTAAAGTGACACTATAAAGTACGAATGGCTGACTGCATCGAGGGCTTATGCTAGCTTGCTTGCTCGACGGATCCGCTCTAAAAGCCTCACAAGCTCGTCTAAAACTGGACCTTGTCAGTTATATCGATCGATCACTTTGAATATCAGCTACGCGGGTTTGGGTGCACACACTCAACCGGTCAAACTGCTTGTGTTTAGTTGGATAAATATCTAATCATGTATTGTGCGGACACTAAAACACTCACAGATT